AGTATGTACATAACCAAATTAAACAAGTAAGAAAGTCTAAGTTCGGGCGGAGCCGAACATTAAGTACCCGGCGCAAGTATTAAATATATGATTTCACCTTTCCGAAAGCTACCGCTACATGGTAAGCAGGGGCGTATCAATTTTTAGTAAATTAGCGTCCTTAAATTTCGAAATATTGAAGTTTCAAGCTTTTCTGAAATTTACCGGTATATGAAAAGCGGCCTCAATTTTAGTCCGATTTCAATAATTTTCAATGTTTTGCTTTTATGTGGCAACCACAATAACCATACCGAGTTTGGTACAAATTGGTAGAACGGTTACCGAGATACATACATATATCTGAACATAAGTTTGAGACAGTGACTCTTGTTTTACCAATATTCATGTGCCTATCGGTGAAAAATATGTAATTGCTGATACGAAATCTACATCTAATTTAAAACTTCAATACTACTCAACCGAAGATAGACTGTGTGATATGTAAAGTGTTTTTCCACATGAAATATGTTGGTATCGTACAAGCAGATGTTGATTATCTGTTGTGTAAAGATTGTCCGGATAAGCGTCGTGCTTCTATCCGCTCGCCACCTATATCAGCTTCGCCGTTTGAGACAAAAAATAAAGACAGTGAAGAAATTAACATGCCCAAAGACAATAATACTGAGCAACAATCCACATTGCTTATTGTGTCCAATGAAATCGCTGCTCTAAGAGCGGACAATACTCGCATACTCTCTGCTGTGAATGCGTTGCTTGCTGATCGTGAAAATCTAATGAAAAAAACGTTTGAACTCCATCAGGAGATTTGTTCGTTAAAATTTATACTCAGCGACTCTGTGCTTTCTAAGCTGACATGCGAAGTAAAAGCTCTGCACGGTATCGTCTTTACTAGTGTCAATAATCTAAATGCAGCCCCTAGTGGTAATGTCAAAATCACTAAAAACAATAAACTTTCGAGTACTGCTAGTCAGGCTCATTCGCTTGCTTCCTCTTCATCATCGTCTCAATCTGTGTCTGATTCTCGTGTTATTGCTGAGAACATTGCGTCTAGTGCTGATGACACCAACATATTGAATGAGATAACGCGGAATGAGAAAACGCAGAAAGAGAAAACTCCTATATCGTCTAACATTGCACGGCTGCGGCCGCCACCACTACCACTGCTCCCGTCTCCTATGCCAGTGCTGCTGCATTGCCGTCGGCCTCTTCTGACCTGATCAGACAGCGAAATCATCTGTGTACCAGTTGCCCATGCGGAATATCACTGCGAAACGCAGTAGTAGAAAACTTAATCAACCAATTGTCGTTGGGTCGAATAATAGCCAAGAACTACATGTTGTTCCTGGTTTGAAGTGGTTGCATTTATCATCTTTTTCAAATAACGGAACTGTCGCCGATATTATAGCTTATGTTTCAAAGCACGCCGAGCTTGATACGAAGTTGCTGACCTGCCATATGCTTGTGAAAATGGACACTGACGTATGCAAACTTTGAAAAATTAATTTTAAACTTGGGGTGTCGGAATGCTGCTATGAAAAAGTGTTTAATGCGGACATTTGGCCAACGCATGTGAAGATTCGTCCTTTCCGTTTTTTTCCCCCAAAGACGGCGTACCACAGCAAGAAGCTTAGTTGAGCCTCCAGAAGTCATCCCAAAACGTCTGAAACTCTAGTTTCAAAATGTATCGGGTCTTAGAACCAAATCTAAACAACTTTTGCCATGAGTTCCCATTTGGACTATGACATATTTGTCCTCGTTGAAACATGGTTGAATGAGAATTTTTATGACAATGAGTTTTTCGACTGCAATCTGTTCAACGTGTTTCGCAAAGACCGAGATGTTTCAAAAACTGGTCTCTCTAGAGGTGGAGGTGTATTAATAGCGGTTAATCGGAAATACCGCTCTTCGCTTGTGCCATTAAAGAATGAGGATACCGTCTTTGATCAAATTAGTATTGCTGTGGATGGTATTTCTAAACTAGTAATTTGCGTTTCTTACATACCGCCATCTAGTAATGATGCAATCTACAAAGCGCAGTTTGACAATGTTCTTGATTTAGCATCTAGTCATGAAAATCTATGTGTAATTGGTGACTTCAACCTAAGTAATATCGATTGGTCTGCTAGGAGCGATAGTCCAGGGTTACATCCGAAATCTCTTAATACTTTTGCTGAAACCTATGTGGTGGATAATTTTTTAAGTTGTGACCTCATGCAAATAAATAATTTCACTAACAAACTGCTTCGAACTTTAGATCTTATTTTTATTAATGACAATGTTAGTTTTGCCTTATTGGAATGCCTCGATCCATTGTCTACTCCTGGTCTACATCATGTTCAGCTGGTTCTTGATTTAGAGTTTTATGAGTTCAATACTATCAGTTTGGACAGTTTCTCTACGAGTTTTTGTTATAGAAACTGTGATTTTGAGGCAGTCCCTATTTACTGGGGTTGAAGTTGCCAAATGTTTTACACTAAAGAACTGAAAAAGTTTTATAAAAGATTTAAATAATCAAACTCACGTCTAGATAGAGACAAATACTTACAATACTCGAAGGAGTTTAAATCATTAAGCAAGGAGCTAAAGCAAGGAGGATAAAATTCAATCCTAAAGCTTTCTGGAGGTATGTAAAGTCGAAGAAATCGTGTTCAAGCATTCCCTGAGTAGTATTTTACAATGATATCCAAGCTCACACTTCTCTTGAGGCTGCAAATCTTTTTGCAGATTTCTTTAACTCCAACTTCGAACTGGAAGCTGATGTAAGTGGAAATAATCTCCTGAACAACGATTCCCCAGTTAATTTTGGAACTCTCTCTTTAACCATTGAAGATGTTGAAGACGGTATTCGACAAATGAAATCGTCAACTCAAACTGATGTTGATGGGTTATCTTCATACCTTCTCAAGTGCTGCTACGCATTCGCATATCCTCTTTTACTAATTTTCAACAAATTTCTCGAGGTTGGTGAGTTTATTGATGCCTAATGTCACTGTTATCAACCCCATATTTAAAAGTGGGAATAAGAATAATATAGCTAACTACAGACCTATTTACAAATTATCCACGGTCTCAAAATTATTCGAATACATCGTAAAACAAAAATTATACTTCTCAATTAACCGCTTGATCTGTGTAAATCAGCACGTTTTCATGGCCGGTAGGTCTACTGTTTCTAACCTGGCAGTTTTTTCTGAATACTGTATATAGGCTTTTCACAATCATGTTCAAGTCGACACTGTGTATACGGACTTTTCAAGAGCATTCGACAAGGTTAGTCTCTCTATGTTACTTACAAAGTTACACAGCCTAGGAGTCCACTCAATATTTTTGAAGTGGATGAAATCATATCTATCTCGCCGAAATTGTGTTGTTGTCGTTGACGATGTATCTTCCCATCCCTTTATCGCGACTGGTGCTGGTGTTCCACAGGGGAGTATACTAGGGCCCCTTTTTTTTGTAATTTTTATAAACGACATTTCTAGTTGTTTTAAGTTCTCGGAGTTTCTTTTGTATGCTGATGATCTGAAGATTTACTCCACGGTAGCCTGTCCCTCAGACTCTTTGAACCTTCAAAGGGATCTGGATAACGTTATCCCTTGGTGTAATAAGAACATGCTAAATTTAAATATAAATAAGTGTCATCATGTCACCTTCTCTAAATCTCGTTCTCCTATCCCAACTTCCTACCACATTGGTGGTTCTCAGTTGGGTTTACCCTACTGAAATTATAGATCTAGGCGTGGTGTTTGACTATAGATTCTCATTTCAAAGCCAATTAAACTTCACGATAGCTAAAGCATACTCTATGTTGGCTTTTATTCGTCGCTTCAGCTCAGAATTTTCTGATCCGTATACCCTAAAGTCACTCTATACCTCCCTGGTGCGCTCCAAGTTAGACTATGCCGCCGTAATTTGGAGACCTTATTATGCTTGCCATATCAATAAGGTTGAACGAATCAAAAAAAAATTTGTTCGTTTTGCCCTTCATTCTCTGCATTTTGTCCACCCAATTCCCTCCTACCGTGGTATATGTCTACTTATTAATCTTAAGCCTTTAGATTGTAGGTGGTCTATTCTCTCCCTTACTTTTGTCTATAACTTAGTACGTATCCATTTCGCTGTGCCTGAGAGATGTTTGAGAAATCACGTAACTTTCTCCTTGGAGAAGGTAAGAACTCAATATGCTTCTAATGCTCCCATATTCAGGGCTCTAAAGGAATTCAACTTGCTCTCAAATTCTTCTGTTATAGACTTTTCTTACTCGGAAACTCGTTTTAAATCAATATTAAATGAATTAATTACTTAGTTTGTTTTTCTTATTTTTAAGTCGTTGTAATCTTTATGAAATGTAATAATTTCTGGATTATTCAGCCCTGTTCTGCATTTCGACTCAATTTGAAAAGTAAAACGATACACATTCCGACTAACTTTTGTGGTGGTGTTCTCAATTCCGAGTGAGATCGAACAAGTTCGAAATCGTTTTCGAATCGTTTTCATTTCGATTCGGTAATAAGTTGAAACAGCTGTTGTCAGTTATTTGTGTAAAATTAATTTCAATCTAAAAAAAATTGATAAAATGCCAGCGCCAATGATTTTTGGGTGTGCCGAGGCAAGAAGACGCACGCTTAAAACAAAAAAATCGTCAGCTAAGAATGCATGTAGACATATTTCAAAAGTTCGACTCCAAGTAAGTTTACCCTTTAATGTAATTTTCTTTGTCTAACTTGATCTGTACATACTTTTTAGGTTTATAGAGTCTTATCGCGTAAATAAAGATGTTTTCAAAATGCTGTTAGATAAAATAGGAATCAGGTTAGCAGAAGGGCATTGTTTTATTACACCGACTACGCAACTGGCAGCCACACTCCGGTTTTAGCAACTGGCTCCTATCAGTTGGGGATTTCTAAAGATCAAGATGTCAACATAGGCAGAATCACCTTTTCCAAGGTATTGCACTTTGCTGTACAGGAGCTGGAGTGCTGCCTTTGTGAAGAAAACATTCAGCTGAGGATGTCGTCCGCGGAGATAAACGCATCAAAAGAGCATTTTTATAGGGAATTCAATTTTCCCGGTGTCATTGGGTGTGTGAATGGAACACACATAAAAGTGTCAAAACCAAGGGATGACGAGTCTCTGTTTTTTAATAGGAAGGGATACTTTAGCATAAATGCAATGGTGGTAAGCTGTTAAATAATAAACAAATTTCTTTGTAATAAAAACGCGTATATATTTATTATATTAACAGATTTGTAATTACAATATGGAAATAGTGGCAGTAGATGCGAGCCACCCAGGTTCATGTCATGATTCATTTATTTGGAATCAAAGTTATGCAAGGCAACAATCGCGCTAAAATACTTGGATTTTGGCAGATTCCGGCTACGCCTTGGAAACCTTCGTAATGACGCCATATAGGAACCCACAGCATGGATCAATAGAACATGCCTTTAATAAGAGACACGCTTCTGCTCGCAACATAATTGAGCGTACAATCGGTTTATTAAAAAGCCGATTCCGATGCTTGCAAGGAACTCTTCACTACGAACCAAAGTTTGTTGCCCAACTAGTCAACGTTTGCTGTGCGCTACACAACATTTGCCGCAGGCGTAACATACAGATGAATGAAGAGAATGGCCATGATCTGGAAATGACAAGTAGAAATGCTGAAGACGAGAGCGACAATGATTACCAGGCGGCTCTAGATGGAGGGGAAATGAGGGATGAAGTTGCCCGCAGTTTTCAAATCTAATTTTTAAAGTATTTAAATTCATAGTCACTCTCTGAAGTATTCGTAATTTAGTTTTTTCACGATATTCAAAATATTTTCTTCGTTAATTTTTATTTAAAATATAGCTCATTCTATAACAAAAACCATATAAATCAATCTTGCAAACCTTGTACAAAATTCCCAAAAATTTAACAAACTTAAAAAAAATGTATCAAAACAGCAACTTTTTATTCAAAATCTTTATAAAAATTTCGCGTATGCAGTTTTGTATTCCATTCAATTTTAGTATAACGAAGTGCAAGTTTCAAGTAGCTAAAAATTACATTTGATTTTTTAGATTCCATATAAAGATAGATTTTGTTCATGCGTTATATGGAAAAAAAAGTGCTACAGTCTCGACTTCGCTAAATTTTCATCAATTTTGTACAAACTTTAAAACTTGGATTCATATATATGGTGTTTGTGAAAACATTAGCCATATTTTAATAAAAAATAAAAAAAAATCAGATATGAGAAACAATGCGAGTATTTAAAAAAAAGTTATCGTATACTCAATTTTGTTAGAAGGGTATTTTCATATGCTGGTCGGTAAAATAATAACTGTTAATCGTATTGACAAGTTTTGATATTTTATTTAAAACATCGTTAAGCCTCTAACAAAAATCAAATTAATTCAGGTTTCAGTCTTTGGGCAGAATTAAAAAATTAAAAAAATTAAATACACACAAACTTGGACGTTTTTAATAGAAATTTCTAGAAATACATACGGTAGGCATTGAAGAAAGTATTTTAATAAATTTTTTTTACCACATTGAAAATGTTTTCCATGGTTAATTATTTTGTTAATTCTTTTTTCAAAAAAGTTTCATTTTAGTTCATAGCTAATTTCTAGAAACACATTTTTTTATACGATATTGAAAATACTTTTCGTGGTAAATTTTTGTTTGTTAATTTTTATTCAAGAAATAGTTAATTTTATAACAAAAACCATGCAAATCTTATTTCCAAATTTTGTGCAAAATTTGAAAAATTCAACAAATTGTCCTTAGAATTTTAAATTTTACAAATCGACGTGGGCACAAAGTTTTGCGCTAAGTTTGAAATTTGAATTTGCATGGTTTTTGTTATCAAATTAGCTATTTTTTATAAAAAGTTAAAAAAAACAAAAATTTACCATGAAAAGCATTTTCAATGTCGTGTAAAAATCAAATAAAAATATTTTTTGAGTAACTGTATATGTATGTATTTGTACAGTGGTCCTCACGTAAAAAGCACACTTTTATTTCTTACAATATTCAGAATGTTTTGCGTGATCAATTTTGTTCGTTATTTATTTATAAAAATATAGAAGATTTTAAGTACAAACCATATAATTCAAAGTTTAAAACTTTGTGCACAATTCAGGAAACTTATAAACTTTATAAACTTATTGGGTATGCAGTTTTGTAGCCTATTCCATTTTACAAATTTTTAAACTTTGACTTATATAGTTTATACTTAGAATCTTCCATATTTTTATAAATAAATATAGTTGCAGTTGCAGTGAACAGACGTGCTTTTTTGAGCTCCGCCGATATCATACTGGTTTTCGGTTCTTTTATGATTTACAAGCACAAACTGATCTTGTTTGAATACGTTTTGTCTCGCGCATCTTTATGTGATACTGTGTGTGCAATTCTGAATGCTGAGCATTAACAATAACGCTTAAGTTTGCCAGCTATTTACCTGTGCAGTTTGATGGTGAGTTATGTCTCCCCCTTCCTCTGCTACTCTTAAACGCCGACCAAGTAAAGGCTCTCCGCCCGCTAACAACAAAGCTGCAAAGTTGGATGAGAGTATAGTTCTAAACACAGTACTCTCAACACTGAAAGAATTAGAGGAGAAAGTGGAAAAACAAACGAACAAACTACAGTCTGTGTTTGAGGAGCTCTCATCCAGATTAACGGATATCGAGAGTAAACTCACAAAGCGGATCGACGAGGATATTGCTGGCATAGCTGAGAAAACTGTGGAGTCTGCCGCCAAAATAACGTCACTCGAGGCGAGCGTATGAAATTTTGAGAGTAAGCTGGAATTGCTTACTAACCGGTTCGAGAGTCAACAAACGGCGATCTCTCCTGACTTCAGTGCTGACTGCGTTATTTTTGGCTTGCCGCAAACTGAGGGAGAAAACTTAAAAAGTGCATTCAACCAGATTTGCCTATAGATTGATTACTTGGTACTGAAGATCAAACCAAAATAATAGTGCTGCGGTTATAGTTAAATTTCACTCGCCGTTTGACCGTAACCGTACTCTTAAGGCGTTTAGTGATTATCGCAAGAGAACCAAGCAGCCAGTTTCACTTAGCGCAATCGGTATTGAGGGACGTCTTGGAATTTTTGAGGGTATATCCGCTAGTAACAGAAAACTTCTGCAAGAGGCGATTAAACTGAGGCGTGCAGGGAAACTGACGTCTGTCTTTACATTGCGAGGTGCTGTGCATGTGCGAGTGGATAAAGAACAGCCTGCAATAAAGATCGAAAATCAGACTGATTTGCAATGTTATTACGACAGCTTATGTTAAATAATCATGTTTGAAGCATGCATATGTTATTGTTATGTTATCTTAGAAATTTATGTTATTTATTTAAATTATATATGTTAATGGTCTGTCTAGTTCCACTTCCCGATTTTCACTTCAACAATGTTTTGAAGTTGCTTTTGTCAATATTGTTGTATGTGGAGACTTTAATGTAAACCTGCTTTCCCGTGAATCACTCGGTTTCGTTGATGATGTATCTGGTGTTGGGCTATCTATTGTTAACACCACTCTACCCACTCGGTTTGAGTGTAATGCTCAACCTAGCCTTCTTGATTATTTTATTGTTTCTGATCCATCTTTAGTTTTAAAATTTGATAAATTTTCTTTCATTTCCGACCATGACCTTATATTCTGTGCTGTTGACATTGTTTTTTACTCTTCTAATATAGCAAAAAATTTCTTATTTAGGGATTACAAATCCTTGAAAACTGACTCGTTGTTTTTGCATCTGTCATATATTAACTGGTGCGATTGTTGGAATCTTGTGACCGTTAGTGACAAACTCAGTTTCCTCAATAAGAGTTTACTAAATGCCTTCAATTATTTTGTCCCGGTCCGTGAGTGTAAAACTAAAATGTCCTGCCCTTGGTTCAATCGTAAAGTTCAGTCAGCTATTAAAAATAAAAATAAACTGCATTTTATTTGGAAAAGGTATCCCACCCAAACTAACTGGGAAGCTTTTAAGCGTTCGCGGAATAACTCCATATTGGTTGTCAGGAAGGAAAAGCAAAAGTACTTTGCTTCGAAACTAGACCCTACTCTCCCTGCATCAGTTCTGTGGCGTAATATCAAAAATTTACGCATCCATGCTCGTAATACCTCTGAATGCAATCTAGATGTGGATGAACTAAATAAAGCCTTTCTCAAGTGTCCTTATTCTGGTGTTCCCTCAAGTACTTTTATACCCTTGACCTCCTCAAGATATACAGGTGCTTCTTTTGAATTTCTACCAGTCTCCGAACGTGATGTAATAAGGTGTGTTTTAAATATAAAGTCAGAAGCAATAGGAGAGGATGGTCTCCCCGTAAAATTCATTAAAATTGCACTGCCTTACATTGTTGGAACTCTTACGCATATAATTAACCATAGCATTACGAGTTCATGCTTTCCGAAAGAGTGGAAATGTGCCTCTGTACGACCGGTGGCGAAAAATCCTTTTGCACATACTCCAAGTGACTTCCGGCCTATTAGCATTTTGCCCTCGCTCTCTAAGGTTTTTGAAGCTTTGTTAGCAGAACAAATAAATGATCACGTCATTAAACACAACCTAATCTCCCCTCTGCAATCTGGATTTAGAGCAAGGCATAGCTGCTCAACAGCAATGCTAAAAATAATTGACGATATACGAATACCATTTGGCCAAAATCAATTAACATTACTTTGCCTACTTGACTTCTCGAAGGCGTTTGATTCTGTGAGCCATGATATACTGTGTACTAAGCTTAAAGAGTACTTCGGATTCGGGAAAAACTCCCTGACGCTTATTGAGACCTGGTAGATCTCAGCGTGTTAAAGTCGGTGAAAATATCTCAAGACTTGAGGCGATTTCCTCAGGTGTTCCACAAGGTTCAGTCTTAGGACCTCTTTTATTCAGTTTGTTCGTAAACGATATTTTCCTCATATGCCAATTTGTAAGCGTTTATGCCTATGCGGATTATATACAGTTATATTTATCGAGTAACTTTGAAAATGTAGGCATGTTAGTTCAAAAGTATAATCGTGACTTGTCTTCTATTGAGCGGTGGTCGAAGAAAAATGGTCTTCTCCTGAACTCTAAAAAATCGTATGTATTACCAATCGCAAAGCGGAAACTTAGTGACACTACTATACCCCATTTAGTTGTCGGTAGTAAACCACTGCAATTTGTAAGCAAAATTACTAATTTGGGCTTTGTCATTAACTCAAGTTTGACCTGCACAGATCATGTAAACTCGGTAGTTGGTAAAGTTTGTGGGATACTTCGAAATCTGCGCCAGAGTGCGGTTTTTACACCTATGGTTACGAGGCGGCGACTCTCATTGCAGTTGATAGTACCCATAATGACATATTCTGAGCTGGTCTAT